AAATGTGCAATTCCATCGAAATATCACAATAAAAAAGTGTTATATTAAGTATAATCTTTACTTTTTAGAAATATCATCAAAAACTTAATAAAGGAGACTGGGGACAAAAATAACATTGTGATGACTTTGAAGTGTTATAACAGTTAAAATATAATATTTACATTAAAAAAAATATGTATTCTTTAGATGTAGAATTTATTTAACTATACAAAATTTTTTGGTTTAATTTTTTTATGTAGAAAAAAAATTATGTTTGTTTAAAGACTATGAGGAATTTTGTTTCTAACCCCGTAGACGGGGTGGGTTGTAACAGTAAAGGGGGATAATTATACAACGTTTGCCAGAGGTACATAACACAATTACGTCATACTCTTTCTTGCAGCTGCACGAATGGATAACAAGTTTTGCGTTTATAAGTTCGGAAAATCAATTCGTGCGCGCAGTTCGAAAGACTATAAATATGATATATATGCATGCACATAGTATATATATATATATATAATTCACATTGAATTATTTAAACATTAAAGATCTAGCTTCGGTGATAGGCATTTCTAGTTCGTATTGATTGTGTCTCACATGTACAGTCTAAAATATGATTCTTATTGTAAATATTAACGATGTTACTATTGCTCCCTGTTATTTTTGTCCCTGATCTCCCCTATAAAGTGTTTATATATATTCCATTTAACATTTCTTTAATTTCGACTTACTTCTTTCAGAAAATTATGATTAAGACAGATTAAGTCCATATCCATAATTTTCTCAAATATTAATAAATTGAAAAATACTCAATAATATACAATACATTATTAATAATAGTAATATAAAACGTTCTATAGGTGATTGTTCCTGTAAAAAAAATCTTGTAACTATTGCCGGTTAAGTAAAGTTTCTGAGGATTTTAAATTCTAAAGAGTAACGCAGATTTCAAGATACAAAGCGTTGTATCAAGAGTATCAAGATTAATAAAATTCTAAAAGATATTACAGAGTCTTCGTATCAATGAGGCATAAACGAAGAAGCGGAATCGACTATCAAGGTGTCGTTTAAAGTTTTTACGTCACCTGGGTGACATACTTTAACCTATGTACTTTAACCTAGTGATGCACTTTAACCTATATTATCATGGATAAGATGAGGCAGTTTTTAGAAGGAGGAATCATTTCTCCTTGAAGCGTCGCCACGTTAGTGCAATCGCACGTCCTGTCTGAAGGTTAATCTTGGCAATAAACATAATGAAATGTTGAGAAGGAAGTCTTCGGTGACGCTCGGGGCACATGCTTTTCGTTCGATGTGAAATCACATTATGAAAACGGATAAGCTACTACCTGATAAAAGCGATGATAGGAGAAATGAAATTACTCCTATAAGTTTCATTAAAATTAGTATCCTCGCGCTAATTAAAAAAGAGGTAGATAAATTTAAAGTGAGCTAACTAATTATAAAACCCTGAAGAAAATAAAAAAACCGAAGTTATTCAGTTTAGTCTTCATTATCGACTTCCGTTACTCTCTAAATCGTTAATATCGCTATATTGTCCTCGGAGCATCGAAGATTCATCGCATATGTCTCCGTTTCTTTATTTCTTTGGAAAGAAAGAAGTAATCTTGATTTTTTCATCTTCTGGTGTTATGGGAGCACGTTCGCTGACGTGCAAGTTAATGTTATAGGTCACCCCGTGAGAACAGAACATTCTTTCTCTGACTGTTTCGGAGCTAAGAGCACCCTCTTCTCTCCGTCGCGTCACTATTAATCTTGCCCTGAGTACCAGACAAATCGACTACTCCAACCCAGTTTTGTCTTCCGAAGGAGCGTATTATGGAAGGATCCTATAGGATTCCGTGATATTAAACGCGCTTCACGTATATCATAAATTTGCACTCTCAATTTAGCCGCGTGACAAGATACACAAAATACTGTCCTGTCGACACCGAATTAATATTATTGTACTGAGGGAGTCAACAAAAACGTACTGCATGTGCAAACTGCGTATCTCTCGTATTTTTAAAGAATCAGCATTCACCAGAGTCAATCTATCTGTATTGTTTCCGCGCTCTTTGCGCTCGTCTATAAATTGTGTCGGTAGTATCTATACGATAAAATTGGATCGAAATTTCCAAACATGTTATCAATGCATATAAAACACATTGTATATTATACGCGAAGCAATACTTACTTCAGTGTCAATAAAGAATTGAATAGAATTTTTGACAATAATAACAGTAGCGTTCTATAAACATTATTGACAAAGATTGAGATCTCTGAATGCGATCAATTTATTTTAAAAATACGCAAATCTACGTATTTATATATATATATATATATATAGATTGTATGTGAAAAAATTGTTGAAAACTCCATTGCACATTCTGGAGATTCGTAATTCAAAGTTACCTAAGTAAAAAAATATCTGGGAAAAACTGGTTACTGACTAAAAACTATCAGTTTTTATTGTTTTGAATTTACTCGATAGAGTAATTATTCAGTAATTGATGAAGAAATTTTATTTAGTAAAACTGGTCAACAGTCAATTAAAAACTAGTCAGGTCAAATAAAAAAGGAAATAAAATAGTAGCTTGAAATTTAATAATAATAAATATTTAAAAAATAAAAAAAGATTAAAATAAATAAAAATAAAATTATTTAAAAAAATCAACAAGCATAATTCGATACATGTTTTCTTCATTTAAAATATTTTCGAATATGACATATAACGAGCATGTCAATAATAATCTAATTGTTATAAAATGTTGTTACTAACCACAATATAATAATTCAATTTACTATTGTAAAAGCAATTATGAAAATAAATAGTTATGTTAGCTTTCGTGTTACAATAAATTTTGTTTCTGGTCATTAGAAACTGCTGAATAACTGGATAAATTTTTTGGTCAATTACTACTCAAACAAGCGTTGCTCAAACTGATCAAATACTGGTAACTAAAATTTCTGGTCAGTTACTAGTTAATTTCTGATTGGTTTCTATCTTGGATGCACGATTTAGGAAATATGCGAGTAAACAACAATTTTCTTTTAAGGCTATAGCACACAAAAAATTTAAACAGTAAGGAAATCAACATGTTGGATTTGCTACTGTTCACGTTATGGTCTTATATGTTCAACTGTGATTGCCCATCTAGCACAGATGTCCAAAGGACATTTTGAGAATGTTCCAACGTTCTCAGGAGAACGTTCACAGGACATCTAGAATAAATGTGTACGTTTACAACTTACGTTTTACTGCTTAATATTTTTTTGTATACTACGTGACCCTTACAGTCGCAGTCGAAAGAAAGATCTAAGAATGTATAAAGCGTGTGGATATAGAGACTTGTCAAGATGCAGCCATGCTGTGCTGCTGCATGATATATATGTATAGAAACGCGTAATACCACTATTTCATCGTGCTCTTCGGCAAGGTACTACAATAATGAGATTAAACCCGAGTATGAGCGCGAAAGTTCGGATGACATGCTTTCGAGTAACTGGCGTAACCATTATGCCATGGATGGTATTCGGTTGTTTTACTGTATAGAAGTCCTCGACGAGAGGAGTCGAGCTAGGTGATGTAAGAGGATTTACATGCGATGTTATTTTCGCGCTAAGCAGCCTGAGGCTCTTACATTTTCTTCGAAGCGCGAGAATGTTTTAATAACTCACGTTGCTATTCAGGGAAGGAGATGCGTTATATAAATTATACATAGAATTTTATATATATAATAAAAATCTAGCACAAAAATAGGTTCGAGGATTCAATACGCAGATCTGATTCAGAATCATCTGTTTAAATTATACCGATTTTGCAAGCTTGCACAAAATTTTCACGAACAAGTAAAAGTTGAACATTTCTTACGGTTTGTTCACTTTCAACTTCGATCGAACTTTTGGGAAGTAAATACGCGCGAAGCGCGAGATTTTTCGTGCTATGGGAATAAAATTTGCAGTTTCGCGAGCTTTGAACTGAAAGTGAATAATTCTTTTTAGCAAATTCAGAAAACTGCTCGGTGTATTGGTGCATTTTTTTCGAAAAGCATTTAATTTGTCTCTTTGAGCTGCTGCCAAATGTAACGCCGTGCCAGCAAAATGCATTGCATTGCTCTGTAGAATGAAATATTATAATAGATTTCTGGAAATGTCATGCAACGTGTTTAGCGTCAAGGTGACTGTTAATGTAACGGTATCCCGTTAATCGTTCGCAGCTACAGTTCCTATACACCAAGACATTTATCTACGTACAATAATTATAAAAGCAATAGCTCATGTTGCTCTTGGTTTATTCATGCAGAGAGATTTGCATATCAATGATAACGCTATGTACTTAGTAACTGATATTCTCATGATATTGACTTTAATATTATACACGATTTCTGATTATAATAATTAAAGTAACTTTTCCAACTTTAACGCAAGAGAGTGTATAATTTTCCAAGTCGAAAATAATTTTTATTAAAAAAATATAGACGCAAAGATCACATTATTATTCAAAGTTTCTGGTAGAAATAAGTCCAATTTCTTAAACATCCAATTACTAATCTAGTATTACTATATTCTTATTAGTTATAACAATATTTTGCATAGGAAATGAGTAAGAATTTACTAGAATTTTATTCAGTATCTGAAACAATTCTCTTGGGAAAAATATGTGTAATTTGCGTAAACATCTGTCTAATTATTGTATTATATAGATTATTACTAATAAAGTGCTGCGTAGTCCATTTATTGTTCTATTTTTTTTCAATAAATGGATTCAGATTTTGCACATCTTTTGTGCATAGAAATTACGGAGCGTTACATCTATAGATTGAGATTCTAAGTAGAGAGTTTCACTTCTTAAGACTATAGTACAAAACTATAGTTACTAGACTGTAGTATAAGTACATAAATATTCAAAAAGTTAATATAATGTAGATACTAGAAAAGTTAATCCAACTGTTCAGTAACTACTAAAAAAAAAATGCATGAAGTTTTTATAAAAAAGATTCTTCGAAGAATGACTGTCTTTAATATTTTCCTGATCACTTCCGAATAAAAAAGTATAAGCACATCTAACATTTTCCAGCTCAACGTTAAAATAAAGAAATCCAGACGTGATCCCCGTTCGAAACTGCTTGTAGAAGGTTTCAACTTTGTCGTAAATCTTTGAAAGAAACTCGAACCTTGCTTCTATATAACTCGTTTCACAACGGATCCAAATAGGTAAGATCTAGATAGATGATGTCTTCTATATCCAACCGAAGCCATTGGGATAAGAGAGCACCCCGTATCCGCGACAGGTCGCGGTCTCGCGTGTTGCCGTCGATCTGCGCCCCACGTCGGATTCTCCACCCGCACCCTCTCGCTTAGGGTACGTTCAGTCAGCTTCGAGCCGCGAGTGGGGTAAGTTGCGTCGCGCGCCGGCTCGCTGGCCCTTCGCAGAGCGAAGCACTCAACGCCGCCCCGCGCACATCTCTCATTCTCGTCCGCCGATAACGAGAAGTACAACCCCCGACGATCGGCGCATCGTCGCGCGCCGATTCAACCGGCGTGGCGCGGCGCGTTCGCGTAAAAAGACTTGCGAAGATCGAGAACGCGGGTGAATGCATCGTGAAACGCATTTCGCAAGCTTTTCTCTGACTTGGTTTGCACGTTTTAATTCTTCTCTTTCACGGAGGGACTCGCCCCGAACTTAATGACGGCGCCAGAAGGAAGCGGCATCGGTGGTAGAGTCGCGCATCGCATGTGAATGCGAGCGGATAGTTTCATCATGCTTGAGGTGAGTTCTCGTGTTCCTTCAGTCGATCTAGCTCGCGGCGTGACTATGACTGCGCAATTTCTTATATAACATAACCGCGAAAGACCCCTTGGGACGGAAAAAGATCTTGTTTTGCAATCATGATTGAAAGTCGCTTCTCGTCAGGTTGATATGTTCATTGTATTTTCACGTATTCATTGTCTTCTTTCAGTTGTGGATGTTCTTTGATCAATTTTGAATCAATTTTTTTCATGATAAAAGTATTAATACAAATCAACAATTTTCAGGGTTTTAAGTCTAACAATAAGACTTTCGATTAAGTCCAAATAAATGATAAAACCTGCGTTTAATTCTCAAGACCTTTCAACAGTATTTTATTTCTTATAATTTAACTTATTTTTTAATTTATGATCTTTAAAGTCTTATATCCGATTACAGTGCATTATGCCAATATAAGTGATAAAAATCATAGAAAGAAAAATATTTAATGCTCTTTCGAAATAAGTGTTAGTATTTCGAAGATGGCAGTTGCCAAGTTCTAGGCGGAAAATGTAGAAGAATTTTAACAAGTTCATTCAAGAGAGCTCAGTATTTGCATTTTCTTGCATCTTTTTTCAACAAAGTTTATGTAAACTAGCGATTGGCCGTTGACCCTGTTTCGCGACGTAATTTTGTTTCGTTTGAACTAAAGGTCGATTTTTCACTTCGCGATAAATGAGGAAATTTGCGTGACCAATAAGCGATTGTCGAGTCTGAATGTTTGAATGGAGACGCATGATCGAACGGAGAAATCGAATGGACTGTCGAATGTGAATTGCAGTCGAAGTACGACAGCATGAGCAAATCTCTTAAGTGGGTCAACAAGTTGAACATTCTGTAGGCAGAATATGGCTCGATTTTGTATTCGGTGGCACGTTGTGATACGATGATAAGAGTCGAAACGTGAATAGCAATCGTTCGTTTCACCGTCGAAAGCCTTTAGAAATTTATGATTGGAACGAATAACTGAATTAATACGTTTTAAATTGCGGAGCGAAAATTAATGGATGGATATTGCAATGTAAAAAGATAAGATAACCTATCGTATGCAGACATTCAGACACTATTTTCTGAAGTGTTTAACATTCGTGTACTGAAAAAAATTTCTGATTGGAAATGAACAAATCAGAATTTTTAATTAAATTTATTAGAATTTTAGTTGAGACAATCAATTCTGATTAATGTAATATTTCTGGCAAAATCTAATAGAAAATTCTTATTTTTACTAGAATAATTATTGATCAGAATTATAGTAATCTTAACTACAATTCTAGTAGCTTTAACAAAAAATTGTGAATCGTCCATTTTCCATCATAATTACCATTTAATCCAATTAGATCTTTTTTTCAGGAGAATATATTTAGCTATAATGATTACATAGCAGCGATGACATTCTAAAACGTACAATTTTATTCATTTCATCATAAGAAAAGAAACTCGAAGCTTTTCTTAGTCATCATCCTCGTCGTCTTTTCCGACTTGTTGACGTGAAGAAAAACAGACATAAACCGAGATTCCGCGCATTAGTATTCAGCTCTTCTGACACGTTCATAATGCTGCAAATGCACGACCGTACGCCATGACGAATTACACTAAAAGCTGCCAACGATAATAAGCTTTTTACGTTTACTAATATTCTTACTGCTTTTTTAAAGGCAGTTGCTGTTCGTTCCCTCGAGAATCTCCTGTGATATTAACTTCCTTCTCCACCTTCTCATATATTTTGCGCATGGCACAGTCCGTATAGAAAAACGAACATTTGCGCTCACAAATATTCCTTCTGTCAAAGTTTCAGATCATAAATTCTCGGCGATAGTATGTACGCGTTTTAATATTTACGAATGGCACTCACTCGCGAGCACTCGCATACCGTATAACTGCGGCCTTTATGTATTATTCGACGGCCCAAGATTTACCATGAAGTCGAGCGGATGGTAGAGCAATCCGAGTTGTTTGCGCACACGCTGACTAGAGTTTGGACTAACAACAATAAGACGAAGTGAAACGAGAAAACGAGAGAAAAGAAAGAGAGCAAATAAAAGAGAAAGAGAAGGAAAGTGCAAAAAATACAATAAAAGTTCTTTTTTGGAGCTTTTGAGGTCTTCAAAAGCAAGTTAATACAATGAAACTTAATCATATATTCATAGCGTTATAAACAGATTTAATTACACGATATTACGGCATTAATATAATTGAGAGTTTCGTTAATATAAAAACGATGTTAAAAACGGACCGATCAATTTCGCGCTCTATTTTTGCCACGATCGATCGTGGGTGCCGTCGAACGTGCCATTAAAATGACGAGCATCAACGTTGCGTTCATCCATTGTCTCTTCTTTCTATTTTTTTTTCACTTGTCGTTACTGTGTCGGACATTCCGAAAGATTTCGTTATATACGTGACAAAGATGCGTCGCTTTCGGATCCCTGAGATTTGCCTGCACAATATGTTTGCATAATGCACAAGTTTACATTTCTCGGTAACCCGTAAAGCGCCTTTACGGCCCCAGGAGATGGTTATTGCGCGAGAGAAGGATAATACTTTTCAACTGGACTTTATTATCCACGGGTGCATCCCGCATCGCACCCGTATGTCTCTCCTTGCGCTAAGTTCTATTTTCGTTGCGCCATATCGATCCCGCTTACGCTGTTTGAAGTCGTAAGACCGCGTCGTTGGCCATGCCGGATCTCTTTTGCCAATGGCGGAATTAAGCGAGGGCATTTGTCGCGTATCAGCGAGAAAAGAAAAGGAAAAGGGGAAAAGAGAAAAAAGAGAGAAGAGTGACGCTAATACCCGAGGGGATAAAAGCGGACATACGTGTAAATCAGCTCGAGCTCGTATTTTAAGCGAACTCTCGTTTTGCGGAGCACAAGACGCACGCAAATAAATCGCCATATATAAATGTCGTATGTCGAAAGAGCGAGATACGAGTATTTATGATTTATCGATGTGTGTTCAATCTTTTCAATATGAATACTCAGTGTGTCAATTCTAAATAAAGGATATATCTCTTTCATATTTGCGTATTTAAGGATGCGTTGGCTTTCATATTCCTTTATATTGCGTTGCAATAATCGAGTTTTTTTTATTGCGTTCGAAACATTGTTCATTCGTCATCCAAAATATTTTCGTCGCGGTTGTTGCAAGTTGTTAAATTCGGCGTTACATATTTTTCCTTTTTGCTGTATGATATTATCTACTGGAGTGAAAACTTTTCGTATAACGACATTGCAATTCTCTGCGAAATGAATTGTGAAAATAGTAAAAACTAATAAAAACAACCATAGAGTAATTCTTTCTTCTTCTCCTTTTTATGTTGCAGCATAGCTGTTCTGCTTTAAAATGTGAACGTGGCTCTAAATATGCCACAGTCGCCTGACGTATGAATCAAATTTAAAAATTCCCAATGTGCCGTCCCGTCCGTCGAGTCAACTCCGTCACAGTGGTCGAGCTTGATAATTAAACCGACATGGCTGCATTAATATCATAATAAATGACTCTAGGCACAATCTTCATTATATCTTTTTTTAATCATTTACGCATAATGCTCTAATTAACGAGTAGCTGATATATATCAGAATTTCTGAATAATTGATGAAGCTTTTTAATAAATAAGCTCACAAAAATTTTTTTAATTAACTGTTGAGGCAATATCAGTGAATTTTTACTCTTAAATTTTAAATCTTTAGAACCTTAAAACGTTTTATGTTAATCTCTATAATTATGTCAATCATCGATTTCCTCTTCAGAAAAAATTCAATTATAATTTCATTCAGAATTTCTCAAAATATGATGCATAATTGCACGAAAGAAAGGTTCGATAAATGATATAGAATTTTATATATATAACAGAATATATGGAATAACAACATTTTCCGGAGAACTCCACGAGTGTCGAGAATATCCAACAGTTGAGAATATTTGCACTCGAATTTCCCTTATAGCGATTTTATCGACATCTAGTGTTTTGCGCATTTCTATGGAGATTCTATCGTATGTACATTAAATCTGGATAAATGGGAAACGTGCGTGATAATATATGAAAGTATTGGCAAAATGTTGAGTTCGTCAATTAACAATTGTGCCGATTAATGGTCAGGTTAATTATTATAGTTAACAGAGTGTTCGCTATGACAAAATCTCCCTTTGCTGGAACGGAGTAATTAATTGCTAACTGGTAACAAAGCTTGCGGACACGCACCGAGGACGACGGCACTCGTCATTAATTGAATCCAATCGAAAGTTACATTGTACTTTGACTATGTGTGATACAAGTCGAGTCGGAGCGCAGAGATCCGTTTTCATGTATTCCATTAAAATTCCTCACACTCTACTGGATCATTTATTCACATATTCCTTCAAGTAGGATGGTATTTCAAACGCGACACGTAAAACTTTATCTTGTATTTCAATTAAATTTTATTCTTGATTTATTTTAGATGAATTTTATTTCGAGACACGTGCGAGCAAATATTATTTTTGTAATCGTATTTATAGGTATTTCTATCATTTTTACGATTTTAATTTTAACCTTTAGGACGAAAATCTATTTTTTAAATCTTAATTTTTCCATGAGTAAGATTTGTTATAATTCGTTATTTAATTGTATTCTTTATCTAAAAATATAACACCGTTTCAGCACATCACTATAATGACTTTCCCGTCCTGTAAAGGTTAATAATTATAATCCACAAATGAAAATTATGAAATAGTATTTAAATTTGTCTACTTTGTAAACACAATAATAGTAAGAAGATAGCGTAACATTTTCATTATTATTATTCGCAGATGCAAAATCTCGTTTCTGTAAGGATTTTAGTACGATATCGTAAGTTTTGAAAGAAACTTTTCGTTTACACATTTTCGAGAAATTCCGTCGCATAGGTTTCAAGGGCCCACAAGGGAGATTTTGCGATGCGCTTAATTCGAAATGTTTCTTCAAATTGCTGCGGGAATAAACCAACTTTATGGGATATAATGGT